AAATTGCCACAACATATCTTATAAATACATCAACTCTCTTGCTCTCTCTATCAACTCTCTCGCTGTCTCTATCAAGACGTATGTTGTGAATATATGTATGTGGGTTGCATATATTTGAAGATGAGGAGGTATTTCAAGTTTGTAAATATATGTAATGTATGTTTTAATTTCAAGGTTTCGTTATCAAGTCTATTTTATCTAGCCGTAATTTTTTTTGGAAAGTATGACTTCTACAGAGAGAGGCTTCATTTCATGTTAAGAGGGCTATTCTTTTGGAGTCCAATCATTGTTTGAAGATTTTTTTTTATTTTTTATTGATGTCATAACATCAAAATTTATAAGGGGTTTTATTTTAATTTTTAATCTTATGATATGAAGTGTTTTCTAGTATTTTTTGAATCATGTTTAATGCAATATTATAATATTATTAGTAATTGTATGTTAATAACTAAATTTTGTATTTTACATACTAATTTATTTATATTATAAATTGCATAAATTTTTTTTATAGTTGTGAATAATATTTTTTTAAATTCAATGATATTATAAGACAAAGCTTAAATTTGTTGTTATTTGTATAATAAAATAATTATAAAATATAAACTAATAATTCTATTTTTAGTGTATAGTATTATATTTGGTTAGGTTGTGATAATTTTGGATGAGGAGACAGAGTTAACAAATGTTTGATGTGATACTAATTTGATTTTATAGGGGGTAATTTTTTTTAATCTTATGATATGAAAGTGTTTTTTGAATCATGTTTGATGCAATATTACAATATTTTATTACAATTAATAATTATACAGACATCCAAATAGGGAAATAACATCTCCATATTTCACCTTTTTTTGTAAAATAATTAAAGTACATATTTTTTTTGAAACTCAAAAAATAATATTTTTAGGGTTTTTAATGATTTTTGAAAATGTTTTTGAGGCTGAAACCGGCTGATCTAGTCAATTCTCCGATCCGGATCGCTGATCCATTGTTTTGACGTGGTTTTTGTGATGCCGATCTTGGACACTGATCCGTTTTTTTAAACCTTGATGCATGCAGTCATTAAGGCTTATCTCTATGTGTTAGTAGGGATGTTAGAGCTGATGAGCATGACATTGACCATATCCATGAGTCTGGTTTTTTTCTTTCAGCTAGACCGTTTGTTTGGAAGTGTATGGGGTTGTTTCTTGGTAAATAACGCCATATATTTCATTAAATTCTAGTGAAGTCTATGGGATAACATTCACCACTTTTGTCATTTCAGAAATTCTAACTTTCAAATTCAATTGGTTTTTAACTTCAGTTTGCGAACCTTGAATTTCTTAAATGATTCATGTTTGTTTCTTATTTTATAAATATAAGTTTATCTTGAGAAATCATCTATAAAAATGGCATATTGTTTCACACAACCATGTGTCTTTTAGATCATAAATATTGTTGTGTACTAATTTCAATAGTTTGAAACTCATGTCGTATTGTTTCGCACAACAATCCTGTATGTCTTTTAGATCATAAATATTGTTGTGTACTAGTTTCAATAGTTCGAAACTTCTTTCTGCTTGTGGAAAGGGTTTCTTTGTGATCTTAGATCGTACTATGCTTGCTGGAATCTCTCAAGCTAGGCGGCGATCCTGCTCCGGGAAATGAATCTTTCTAGGATCTCGATTGTTAAATTTGGGGATCTTTTTCCCCACTTCTAGGGATAGTGGTCCACACCTTAAAGACCATGAAATGACCAAACTGATAATTTTCTTTAGTTATGGCCTACTAGCAATGCCACTATACTAGTAATATTGTTGCATTGCTTGCTGGCTATGAATAAAGAGATCGTTACATTACAGAATACACATAATCCTAGACTATTTATACTTTTGAAGGTTGTCCAAAGTTTGGGATTAAGATCCCAAAAGTTTGGGATTGAGATGCCTAGAAGTTTAGGATTAAGATCTCTAACATTGGGGGATCTTGACTCTCGATTCCTAACATTCGCATTGTGCGGACAGGGCTCTCGATTATAGGGATCTTCTAGCATTTCATAATTCTCTTCTTCCACTCCCGATTCCAACAATATGGATTGTACGCATACATTACACAATGCATTTTCAATGTTTTTCTACTTCCAACATACTTATTTTCTTTTAAGCTTGTCTTGATCTGCCATGCCACAATGCAAAGGAGTCAATCATATGCACATATGAAGAGATATCGGGTTCATTACGTCATTATGTTTGAACATGCCCTCTATAAGTGTAGCCCATACCTACAAAGAAATCATTGTTTGACAAGGCAAAACTTGTCTTACTCAAAGACATAATTAAAACTCCTGTTATTTAACAGATACGTTGACACAGGATTTTTCTGGACTTTTGGGACATGGAACACATGAAGAGGGGGTGTTGACCTCTCTGGATGTGAATTCGAAGTTATTGAATTTCGAAGTATTGAAGTGAAGAATCGATATGAAACACAAGATTTCTGGATTTTGCCTCAAGCAAATATGTCTTGACTGATTGCAAAAGGCTATAAGTAAGGCAGGTGTCGATGTTTTTGAAGCCTATGCACCTATAGCTCGAATAGCTGCCATCTGAGTACTCATTGCATTGGCATTGAGATGCTATCTAGAGATTCATCAAATGGTCATTCTTACTAGATGTAGAGTTGGACATATAGCAACCTAAAGAATTTATCCTAAAAGGACAGAAAAACAAGGTATGTAAACTCGTGAATCCTTGTATAGGTTGTAGCAAGTATCAAAACAATGTTATAAAATGTTAAGACAGGCTGACGGAGTAGTTCTGTCACATGAGTTTTGAATCAACGATATTGACACATGTATATACTCCGAAGTGTTTGAAGGAATTGTGGTTATTGCTTTTGCCTGTATTAGATGCTGCGCTCATACTTGGCGATGACATGGTATGAATTAAGGGCACCAAGCTGTTTCTATCTTTTGAGTTTAACAGAAGGACATGGGGTAAGCTCGTGTGATTCTTGGAATCAAGTTACTGAGGGAACCTAAGTTTCCAGTTTCAACCCAGTCTCACTACGTAGAACAAGTACTCAAAAGATTTGATTACTTTAAATGTGTGCTAAGTGTCCAACCCCACATGGTCCTCATATTAAACTCAAAAGGAATACTAAAGTTCTTGTTTCCCAATCAGACGAAGAGTCCCTGGAGTATTATGCACATAATGTCATTGTACTAGACCATATATAGCCTATGCTATGGGAAAATTGAGTAGATTTTTACTAGCAAACCAGTTCAAGAACATTAGAATGCGGTCTATGGGGTCCCAATATGTCTTAAAAGAACTACAGATTATGATCTGCATGATGTAGGGGAACCCACTGTATTGGAAGGAACAACAATGCTAATTGGATACCGGATTCTGAAAAATCCAAATTTACTAGCGGATGATTTTCACTTATGGTGGGGGTGTTATTGCATGGGATTCAAGAAGCAAACATTTATATCCAGAATTGTCACAGCATGTTATTTCATTACAAATGCATTTTTAATGATTACAAATTATGTTATGAGAGCATTACTTGAAAATGTATTTTGGCAGGTGAAAATTGATTGACCTGGATATAAATCGTTATGGAATTGCTACTTTTGAATTTCTTGTTTGGATTCATAAATATAACATAATTGTTTTAATGCTATCAAATATCATCAATATAGATATCTACTTTATCATGTTTTGAGATCTCATTCTTCCATTGCAAGTTCTATTCCTTTACTTGTGTACAACTTAAATGTTCGCATTGTTATTATATATAGGACCTGGTTTCTATGTGGCCAAGCCCGCATATTTAGAAATGCGGGCCTCTTAATAAATCTATTTTTGAGATGGATTTTAGGATTTAATTTTTAAGGACATGTACTCTCTAACATGGAGATCGTGAATGTGAAAACATAAATAAATTTTAAAAACTAGAAATAACAATTCTAGTGAGAAAAAATTTGGAGCGTAAGTTTCCATTGTTTTTAGATGGAACACCTACTGACATCCATCTTTAAGATGGATGCTTTACACTTTCTGGACCGCATATGTAGAAATGCGGTCCAGCCCGCATGAAACATTTTTCCTTATATATATTTGTATCCAAATAAAAATTTAATTCTCCATCCTGTAGATGAATGAAGTGTTTAAATATTGCCAAGTATAAAAAATGATGATCTATGAGACAATTTCCAAATATTGTTCTTCCAAGATGGTATATGTAGGGGTGTTAAACAGGTGTGTTTGACCAGCTGACTCTGGAGGTCAACCTGACACTGGACATGGTGGGTCTGGTCTGGGTCTACTTGGACATGCTTAATTTGTTACAGTTTTGTGTTCTCCTCATTTGAATTTCTTACTAGAAAAAGTCTTCTCTGTCATGATATACAATTTGGCAGTTTAATATCATGGACAAGTGCATTTACTAAAAAGTGGGCATAAGAACTAGCCCCCAATCAGTTATTGTATTATATTAAAATATTGTTATATTTCTTATTAAATTTGCTTTATTAATTGTTGTAGGTATTGATTAGTTATTGTTTTCTTTGCTTACTATCTTCTAGTGCGTATTTGACACCGGGAGCTTAAAGGAGTGGGATAGAGTCTCCAACAAATTATGGAAGACCGCCTATCTGTCATTTTTGATGAAAGGGCGGTGTTTAAAAAATGGACTACTTTTGATGCTAAAAAATGCTGTGTGGAAGGCCGCACTTTCATGCATCGCCTTTCACACAGCAAAATCAAGCATGGAAGTGGGACTTTCCATTCCCACTTCCAAAAAATCCCTGAAATCAAAAGCGCCCTTACAATTTGTTACTTTCTTTAATGCAAGTTCATAGCATCTTGGCCTAATCTTTCTTGCTTTTATTGGACTTCCTTGTTCCTGTGCCCCTTGTTTGTGGTGCTCTTATTGGATATCCATCTGAATGTATATTCATTAAGTGTTGTGTCAATCTGTGGGCAGCTTATTGAAGTTTAATATATGAAATACAGATAGAAAGCAAGGTCACTGTGAAAACAAAGTTTACTGTTGAGGGACCAATTCGGTTGAGAGAAGAATATGTTGAAGGTTTGTTAGAACCACCATCTGTTAGTGAAGAGGCAATTCCAGAACAGCTTAAGGGGGCATATGGACAAGCGTCTGGGACTCTCCAGCAATTTCCTGATCCTATAAAGGATGCCATTTCCAATGGACTGAAAATCCCATTAAGTAGGATATGCTTTTGTTTTTGGAGCCTTCCATACTTCTTGTTTTTGGATTCCGTTTCTGAAACTTTTAGCATTTAAGGGATTGGTTTTTTTTTTTTTCCTTTTTTTCAACGTCTTTAAATTATGATGGGTTACTTATTTGTGGCATGAAACTTAAGAACTTAAAAGATTTATTTGATTATGAGAAGTTAATGAATACATGGTAGATCTATTACTAAAATCCATTGACTTTATGTCACGAGTTTGAAATGACTTTATATCTCTTCATCTAGCCCAGAAAAATAGACTTTATATGTCACCAGTTTTAAATTTCATGCTTCATTAACTAATTCTTTCCACCAAACTTACCATAAACTTTTGTTTGAAACCTTGTAACCTGGTGATTTGATGATTTTGGTTTGACATCCCAGATTGTGGGTTTGAATCCTTCAATTTCCTATCTGAGCAAGAAAAACAAACAATACACTTAATATTATTGGATTTGATCACTATGGCACCTAGCTATCTGGGGCAGGATTATTGTGGGAGTTCTTGTTCTCATCTTTTTTGGTTCTTCATATTTTTTTTCTGTTATTCTTGTCTCTGCATAACCCATGGCTCTCTCAGGTACAATACGAGCCACTGTCCCCGTTGAATTGTAAATGCATTCTATTTTTGCAGGTGGGACATTCCAAAGGATGATCATGATATCTTATCTAGATGAAGAAATCTTCGTATGTTATGCTTTTCCCGCTTGTAAATAAGCACCAAAAAAAATTAATTATTCATGCAATTTGCATATTTTTTTTGGGCTGGTTAGGCTAGTATTTATTGCTCTCTCTCTCTCTCTCTCTAATATCCACGGTTTCCTCGATTGGTTTCCTGCAGATATTAAGAAATGTTAATGGTGAACCAGAGGTTCTATCAAGACAAGATGCACCCCCATCGCCTATCTCTCCTGATCGAATTGACGAATATGAAAGCTAGTATTTTGTAATTGGATTCCTAAATGTATCACGTGGGACATATCCCTCTTGGGATGTGTATTTATTTGTGTAGCACCAGAATAAGTCAATCTCGTTCTTAAACGGATGGTAGTGGAACTATGTTTTCTTGTGTTTTATTGAATCCACTCCTCTTGCAATGAAAACTCACAAAAGTTGAGGTGACAAAGTTCTTGGATCAATTACCTGCCACCTTGTGCCCGAAAAAGAGCTCAAAACAGTTAGTAGTAGGTTTTTTTTCTTGTCCACAATGACTGGATTTGTTCTATTTGAACGGATGTTTCAAATGTGAGGTAAGGTTTGGGGGATTGGAAATGACTAATTGAAAATGAACCGAACATGCAGACACTTCTGTGCCTCCAAACCATTTATAGCAGACGCAAGAGGCTGTTTGTGTCTTGGATTCCTAATGCTCTCATAGTTTTGCAGTAAATGAGTGCTTTCTCACTCTGTTTTTGCAGTACTGAAGCTGGTGAAAGCGTGGAAAATACAAGGGGTGTTCACACTCGGAGCTTATTCTTAATACAAAGTGACTTGCCTACTGAAAAGAAAGATGGCCAACATAGAACCTTAGCATAAATGAAGTAGGCAAAAATGACAATGAAAAACTAGAAATATTAAAGAATAATTGAACATATTGTTGCCTGGTGTATTAAAATTTATGAGCGGTCGACTTGTCTGCTTTTTGTGAAATATGGATGCATTCAAGAAGAAATTTAATTAGAAAAAAAAAACAACCGTCTGAAGAAGTACAACAAAAATCAACAAAATTGTGTGATATTAAGAACAACATCAATTTTATCTCTTTCTTTTGAGATTTTTTTAAAGGAATTGAACTTTGTGACTGTTAATATTGTTAAGGAGCAAGCGAATGAGCAAGAGTAGAGAAGATGAGCAATTTGCAAAATGAACTTATTTATTTTCATTTAAAAGAAATATAACACATCCCGTGTATGGTGTATTGTACACGACTGGGCCACCCAACTTTAATTTTCAATGATTTACGGTGTAGATTAACTGTAACTTCAGTGACAGTGATTCACCTGGGAACAGTTAATCCCATTTTGAAGAGGGAGTGGATGACCTGGATGTAAATATAATATCTCATAAGGAGACTCAGTGAGAAACATCTCACATGACAATTTAATTGGTGAGATATTTGTATATTCGGTGTTTAGAGAGAGATGAATATCCAAAAAGGTTAAAAGATTGTTCCCATGGGTGCATGATCCCTCGAATGAAAACCCTAGACCGCAAATTTTGAGGATGTAACTTCTTCGACTTAGTGACTAACCTCAAAAAAAAAAAAATTGAAAAAAGGAAAAAATCATCCTATGGACCATCCAATTTTTGGGTAGTCAGATCTAGGTCTTAAAAGCTTAAAAATTTCATTTTTTTTTCCCGAAAATCCTCATACGGCGATTCTAAAGCGAATCCCGAAATTTGAAAGCGAAAAAATATTCGTAAGTAGGTCTTTTACGCAAAGGAGTAACTGTATAATGTGCGCTTTTGGGGGAGTTGCTATTCACGATCTCTGAGAAATTCGCATATACCTAGTGGATTATTGAAAAATTTGATTTATATCTTAAAATAATTTAAAAAAATAAAAAATGGAAAATAAAAATTTGAAGTATGTAATAAGAGAAGATTGTAAATAATAAAAACCATACAAATCTTACAAAAATGTATTTATAAATCATATATTAAAGACATTTTACTAATTTTTTTTGAGTTTTTTAAGTGACGAGTTGGCCTTTCAAACTAACCTAAGCCATAGTTGGATGCAAAGTTACTTGGTCGAATCCATCCGAGTCCTTAGGCACTGCTTAAAGAGTTACCCAGATTGAATTTCTTAATAATGATGGTTGGGACTAGAACTGTAGTTTGAATCCCCATGTTTGCAGTTTGAAAATGTAAATGGAAATGTGAATTAAAACAGCCACAGAGAGAGAGACAGAGAGAGAGAGAGAGAGAGAGGGGAAAATTGAATCATCATGACTGTAAATTGAAAATCTAAACCGGGGTTAAATAGAGGGCTTCCCCCCATCTGGCCCTCTAATTTTGATCAAGTGAGCCACTGACCGTTTGATTTAGATCCGACACTTCAGTTTTTTATTTTAATTTCTTTTTACAAGTTATATGAATAATAAATTTGGTATGTATCATCATTTCAATGGGGCACATTTAAAAAATCTTATTTTTTTTGTAAAATAAAATAACCAAAATACCCTTTTAGAGCCATTTTGGTTATTTTATTTTATTGAGAATTATTTTTATATTTTTTACACTTGTGATTTCAAGAGAAGAGTGGACACCAAAAATTTAGAAATAAAATATTTTGTAAAAAAAAGTTAAAAATAAAATAGTGTAGAAACATGACATTTTGATACAAGCTATCTCAACCATCTATTTAAAATGGATGGTTGGATAGGAGAACTATATAAGTTTTATACATGAAGGCTTGCCCTAAATAGAGAGGGAGGTGGAAATTGATTTGGATTATATTGGATAGATGTGAATTGGCTAGAAAAGTTTTAAAATTTAAGGTGCCCATTATTTGTTACTTGCCTAAATTGGAAGTGTTGATATTTTGGGACAAGCGTTAAGCCTCCTAAAGTGGGAAGCACGTTATCTTGATCATAGGCGTGCTAAGTTAATCATAGAAGAGTTAGTAAGAGAAATGTAAAAGAAATATGTTCTTGACCAATCATGTCATTTCAAAAGGAGATTATTTGTAACACTAAAAAAAAAGGAGATTATTTGTGAATAATAGATGGTTCGTTGTATGGAGGTCAGTAGTTCTTGTAGTAAAATTAAAGAAAAACTCAGAGAAAACTAAAAAACCATATGTCCGAATCAATAATGACAAAATTGAAAAGTTTAAGAGCAAAGTAGCAACGCCATTTAAATTTGTTCCGTTACCTCTTTTCTGAACAAAACAGTTCATTGATTAAAACCTATAGCCTGAAACTCGTTGAGCTGGCTCAGAATCATAGGTAGTTAACGACCTAACAATTTTGGAGGGAGACATGCAAAAATTGAGTCGAGTTCTTGATCCTAGGGTCCTTTTGTTATGTTCTTAGATAAAAGAAGTTGGTGGCGTTGGCCCTCTGACTTGGCCAAACTCTGACCAACTTTGGCTCGGTAATTTGGCTGGTTTGAGGCCGAGTCTGCATCTTCTAAACATGGATACAAGACTGATTTAGAAAAGATATGTTAATGTTACTTTACCGACCTGGCCAGGCTTTATGATTTAGAAAAGTGTTGTTTATTTATTTCTCGATGAAGTTTCCATAAGGCTTAGGTTTTATGAAAACAAAATAAAGTTTCACTTCAAATACTCATCTTGAGAGTACTTTAGGCAACGAAAATCTCCATGATAGATCTAAAATCAATTTCCATCACCAAAAATAAAATTTGAAACTCAAAAAAATGATACATATCTTCTTGGATATATATGAACACTGAATTTTTTAGTTGCAGATAATTTGTTACAATATACCCAACTTTTAGAGCTTAAAATCCTATTTTGTTTACACAACCATAATGTTCAAGCCGAGATGTCCGATGTAAAGATTGTAATTTTTAATGAATTGTAAGGTAAGGTTTTACTTATTTAGATAGGGCTGCAGCCCTATCAAACCATTTTCCTTTAGGTTCTAACGTGGTTTTGAGTACTCCCTCTCCCAACATCATCTGTATGTGTGTGTCTGAGCTCTTACCGATGGACAGCTTTTTACCAACACATTCAAATGTTCATTTAGATGCACATTGCAATAAACAATAATGTGGAGAGAGAGAGAGAGAGAGAGAGAGAGAGAGAGAGAGAGAGAGAGAGAGAGAGAGAGAGAGAGAGAGAGAGAGAGAGTAGTAGTAGTAGTAGTAGAGTAGTAGTAGTAGTAGTAGTAGTAGTAGTAGTAGTAGTAGTAAGT